TAAATAACAAATCGCACAATAGCCCTCCACATGATAAGAAACGCAGGGCTTTGGGGTTGGACGTGGGAAGAACAAACGGCCTCAGATGATGGCGTCGACCCCAATGAGGACATGTATTGTTGCGACGCAGCTTGGTTTTCTCAAACTATCCTAAAACGTTGTCTGTGCAGATTCACGGAATTGTTTTTTCTTTGTGAACGCCAACTCGCGTTCGTGTCTCCTGGCGCTTCGTTTGCCGTTCGCTTAGGTGGCACACGACACGACAAAAGGGAGAGCGAGGTCGCCAGATCGACCCACGTCGTCGACGCCACCGCGTCCCCCCACGGCTGTTCCCCCCGATCTATGCAGCTCCAGGTGCCACAGTAGGGGCACTCCCGTTGCAGGGGAGCGAAGAAATAGCCCGGAGAACGCCGTTTGAGAACAAAGAGAAGCCGGCAGCAAACTCTCGTAGAGCTCGTTGGGAGCGAAAAGAGAGGGACCTCGTCGTGCGTGAACGTTTACCCACACTTGGCGTCGAGGAGGCTGTTAACATAGTCTTTGCGTGTGTTGGTGTTGTTTCGCGAGTTCATTGAGAGATGGCACCGGTCGGGGAGGTGGCACCGGGGTGCGCAAGAAACAGAACAAGAACGGCATGGTATAGGTTCGATTTCAGCACAAAGGCCGGTGACATCGCACCGGGTGCGATCTGGTCGACCACCAAACCAAGCTTGAACTATTTTTGAGCTGCCGGAAAGATATACATGTGCGTACCTTTTACGTATGGGTGGTGTCAGCGGAGCGTCGCCCCTTCACATTGTATGGTCGCGGTTCCGGCGGGATGTCAGTTGTTTTCAATTTCTAATTGGAATGGAAGTTGCCAATCGTAGATACCAAGCACACAACATAGAGGAGCCGCAACCTACCCCACCTTACACAGGGAAATCAAATGTACTGCTGCGGACGTGCTGGTATTCCGTAGAGAGGGGGACCGAACCAAAGCGGGCGACAAACCTGGGTGATACCTAATGTACCCGTACCCGTATACATACCACATCGCCCGTTGTCTTGTCACGCCATAGCCAAACTCGGTTTCTGACCACTCGTTGTATGGAATGATGCTATGCCCTAGGCTACGTTGCCGGTACCGGTGCGCTCCCAGCCAGCAACTTCGGCACCCACACCGCCCAAATCTGCTTATAAATACACGCACTACGTGAGGAGCGGAGAGATGGCACCAGTCGGGGAGGTGGCACCGGGGTGCGAGTATTCAACACCGCCGAGCACCTGTAGGCCCGTGGGTGTATTTAATTGGGCATCGCATAGGTCGGAGAGATCGCGCCGGAGTGCCGAATACAAAACATGAAAAAAGTACTGTACGTTTCAAAAAAATAAAGTTAGTCGGAGCACGAAAAGAGATACTTCGAAGTACATGTATGTACATAAGCCTTTTTTTGTAGTATAATAACCTTGATGGGCTGGGAATGTCCGGCACAAGTCCCGTACAATAAAGCCATCCATAATCGGTGAAATTAGACCATCCGACTAGTCAACTCTAGACCATCCGACTAGTCAACGTTAATTTCACCGATTAAAAGATAGATATGCTCTGAGCTCGTTAGCACCCGGCCGGATCACATGGGCTTGAGGCTTTTTGCGTCTTAATCACTGGGATTGAGAGTAGGGATCTCCGGGGCGTACAGTACCCCTCGCCAGACGTTGCTGTCAACGTTGACTCAGTGGTCTAATGGTCAAAGCGGTCTTCTTGCACAAGGTTCCGCGCACGGGTTCGAATCCCAGCGGCCCACTTACGAAAGAATCACTATTTATTTATCAATTTTTACCAAACACCAACGTCTGGCGAGGGGTACTGCACGCCCCGGAGATCCCTACTCTCAATGCCAGTGATCAAGCCGCGAAAAGCCTCAAGCCCATTCCATGTGATCCGGCCGGGTGCTAGCGAGCGCTGAGCATATCTTTTAATCGGTGAAATTAGACCATCCGACTAGTCTACACTAGTCGGATGGTCTAATTTCACCGATTGATCCAGGCCTTCACGCCCCCCCTCGGCAGCGCACAGCGCACCGCGCATTTGCTTCCAAGCTGCCGTGTTGTGCGGCGCCCGGCGCACCCGGACGCTGTTTTGCGAGAGCTGCTTGCTGTGTCTGGCCAACCCCGTTGCTACACCATCTTCTTCGAATTGCAGACCCCGAGTGCCCGACACTATGTACAGTGTGTATTGGAATTTCACGTTGGATGTCCAATGGAATTCCCCATCATGGTACACGTTGAACGTCCAAATGGACATACTGGCCGTCCCATAACATAACTTAAGACACCATTGGACGTCCAAAACGTACCATGGTACACTTGGGACTGCCGATGGGCCGTCACGTGGGACGCCCTTCGTACACGGCCGATGAGATGCCTTGGGCGTCCCAGCTGGACGTCCTAGTACGCGGTTTAGCATCTATCTATGTAGACGTACAGAAGCCAAACATATGTACGCAATAGGGTAGTACGCGTAGATCGCATGCAGCTATCAGTTGTGAAGTTTGTGTTTCCCGCTAGGTCAATGTACATGTGTAATGGACACGGGATGGGGGATCCATCCGTCGGTGCGGACGTCCAAGTGGACGGCCCACGTGTCCCATTGGACGTGCCACGTGCCCCATGGGAAGTTTTGGACGTTCGATGGGACCCTCGTGGGATGTCCAACGGCGTGTCCCGTGGCGTCTCACGCCATTGGACGTCCAACGTGTCTCATGGGACACGTTTGGACCTCCCATGGGACACCACTGGACGTCCAGAACGTCCCATGGGACGCGTGGAATGTCAATTTGAACGTCCAAGGGAAGTTCACAAAATACATGTACCCCAGGTCTGGCCTCCACCGGCGAGAAGCAAGTCGGTCGATCAGCCAACAACACGAACTTGAACACCGAAACACCGTAATCGACGCTCAAGCCATTGACGTTAGCATGGCGCATATTTTGATTGGCGTCGGCGTGTCTTCAAAATAGTCATGAGTGCTGCGTTCCACCATCGCATATTTTATAGTTGGATGGAACCGAGAACTTTTTGAAAGAACCTGTTTCTCGTGGTAGAAAAGTGCTGCATGTCTCCATGCTTTTCCTAACCCAGCACGACCTACCCCAAGAGAAAAGAACTCTACGGGACACCGACGCACGCACCCGCTATTTAGCGGACTCTTCTGCCCAGATTCAAACCCACCCCCAGATGCTACGTTAGGGGGGTCACCTCATCTTAAAATTTCGGGTAGGGAGACGCTCTGCGAAAACCTGTCGGCCGCGTAGTCCTATTTCGCCGTAAGATCACCAAAACAGGACAACACATTTTCTCACAAAAGTGAAACATTTCGCCCTCCAAAGTGCACCCCCTACTGTAGCACCAGTCGAACACGAAAAGGGAGGTAATGGAGTTCACCACATGAGACCAATACTCAAAATCTCCCAACAATATCAAGAAAAGCGACAAATAATCGACAAAAATACCACACAAATCGAAAAAAAGAGGCAACGGAACTGAAGCCAAGGACCAATACTCGACCACAGGGGCGTGGACGTCAGCAGCCCCATATATAGATGACATCTCCATCCAAGGATAAAGCCCTCGAAGTGCAAAGTGGGCGACGAAAGGCGTTCAAATCGGAATCCCACACGGGCACTATGTAGTCTTCATTTGACAACAAGCCCAACAATGACTCGATAGGCCGAAGAAATAAAACAGGTACTTACTAAAACTTATCAAGTGCTCAGCAACAGCTTGGTGCACAAGTCGTTCCAGCAGGGAGGCTAGGCAATAAAAGGACAACGGAAAACATACATGAAGCAAGAAGTCAGCATTGATCCAAGGATATACCGGAAAATCATAACAACACTCCTAAACGTCCCTCCCAGCAACCAATTACTTCGACAGCCGAGTACTCCACACTGGCAACGACGGCGGAAGGCTATCACCATGCTTGGCGTAGCGTTTCTAATCATTGAACATCATCGCTCCATGGCTGGGCCCGAGAGGGGGGAATAAAAACGGTGGCTCTCGCCAAAACCTGGGCATGGGGGTGGACAACTCAACTGCTATTTTTCTCGTGATGTGATTCATGCTCAGGCAGCGTACAGCATCCGACAAGTGAAAGAAGATACCATACACGCGAGCAAGCGACACCAACATTTTTGGTACGTTGTGATAGATTCCACATGTGTGGACATCGCTGACTCCCTCCGGCAAGAGAAGCGAAACAGAAGCGGGGTACACACACGGCAATATTGGAAGGACCAATATAATAACCCCAAACACATGTGTGTCTACACCCGTATCTCACAAGGCACGAGACCCTGCACCGGAAAGTTCACGCAAAACGGCAGAGTACGCTCACAAATTCAACAGCAGCCAGGGACTAAAAGACGAAGTGAAACCTTGGTTAGGTAGACCGCTTTGAGTAGCTGGAGCGCGCCCGCGGGGGGGGGGGGGGGTCGCGCGAAGGGACAACCTCGTTTGTTTCTCGTAAATATTGTACACAGAAAAAGCTTGGAAGGATGCATCAATTACCAGTAATGATACACGTTGACTGACTTGCGAAACTTTGAAAAGCAACACTCAGCAACGCAAATCAAGATCAACATTAAGGGAGACGTGTTTCAACACCTGGTTGTCCCGCGCAACCAACGGGCGTGCCCTCACGACCGCGTTCAATACAGCAGTACAAGACAAAATACAAAGTTCATAGTACAGGAAAAAACAAAAAAGTGGGACATCGTCCCCACGGTCCGAATTTCTGCACGAACACGCGCATCCTACTTATGTATTTTCTGTGCTGGTGGTGCGCCAGGCGCGTTAAAATGTAAAAAACAACAAATTTGAGTCTGCCTGGTCAACGTCCTCGCTCATCAATCCCGCCTCAACCCCAAGCGAAATCCTTCGTCCAATCACGGAAATGTCCGAGATATTTCCCCTCGTCCCCAACCGGCCGTTCCACACCTGCCGTTGCGGCAAGCAACAGGCTAGGTCAGAGCCCAAACCGCAATAGCCACCAGCCCCACCGCTACCAAGGCCATGAAGAAGCAGAGCTGGGTCCTCCCTCGGCTCTGCGCTTCCTGTTCTTCCTCGAGCTCGTCGGCCTTTTCCTCATCGTAGTTGCGGATCCTCTGCGACAGCGCCTTGAGCTGTGCGTTGATGGCCTGGAGCTGTACCGCCGCCTCAGGGTCTGTCTCCGCCAAAGCCTGAACACCGCCGAGACAGAGGCAACCGTCTTGTCAGACAAGCGCGATTGGCAAACCAAAGCCAGCAATACGGTACTCAAGCAGTATGATACAACTATATACCACATTTTACGTAATATACCACACCACACACAGTTCTCAAGGCTCGACTACATAAATCACGACATAATAGGATGTCACCAACAAAATATACCGTTTCGGAAAGTGCTCGACGAGACGGTTCCGCTTGGTGGCACCGTCACTGGTTTCGCCGGAGCTACGCCAAGCTTTGGCAATCGGTCAAGGGGGTGCAGCGTCTTATGCAACCTACTTGCACGGTATTGAACTTCTTCGGGTGGTAAACTTCTAGTCAGGAGTAACTCGTACGATACCCTAGTAAAATCGTGGTGTCGAAGATCGAGAACAGTCCTGCGCAAGGTTCGCAGAGATGGTGCTCGTGTAAATCCGCTTGCGTATCACTGCATTTAACAGGAGAACGCTTGTCTAGTTAACTGTCGAGCTCAGCCGCGGATTAAGGCAAAACACCATTTGCACGTACACGGGGGCAATTTCGTTGCTTGAAAACTTCAGATCTTCCGAAAGAAAAACAACGCCGCGTGTGTGTACGTTTGGGCACAACTGGAAGTTGCCCTTTTTGTTTGCGTACTCGTCTAGCTCAACGGCTGGGTGTGAATAACACGATAAAGCATGCCTTGCAGGAAAAGCCGTGCCATTTGTTAGAAAAAAGTTACCATGGTATCGAGTACCCGCAATTCTCCTTCTCTGCATATGAATCTACACGTTGCTCTCAAGACAGAAGAGGACGAGATGGGATAAAATCTCATGAGTTGTGGTGTCTGTTATCTCTCAACACGCATGGTGCGCTTGGCTGCGGGCAACGCCAATGCTTGCCCTCGCGCCAAGGGAAATATTACCACGCCGAACCCGGGCTAACCTGGACCGACGGCAGCACACCACAAAACGAAGCGCCCCTGTGTGGCCATTGCCTCGAAGTGGGGAAACGAACTAGAAAATGCCCTCGCCCTTTCATCCCGCTATACATACGACTGGAGTTTTTTCGTGGGCTAGGCAGATAGCGCACGGTCGATGCAAACAAGACAAAACGGTCATCACGTAACGCTATGGGTTAATTGCTAAGCTATCCCGGACTGCTGTTATCTGTGGGAGAGATCGATCAATTCGTTGTGTATCTGTGAGCGATAAGAACAATATAGCACACACCTGAAATCGCGCCGCCTCGCCCTGTAGAACTCCATGCTGGGTCATCCAGTACGCTCGCGGATTAGTCGTGTCATCCGGAAGGTCTGTCACCGCTGCAACACACCGGACACATCGACAGGGACAAGATAGGCGTGGGTTAGTTCCTAAGCCACGAACGTGAGTTCAATCTATTTGCGTTGCCGTTCCATGTCCAATTTTGCCAAGGATACCCGCCGTGGTCTAGGCGTTTTCAACCCTCAACCTCCGATCCGACCTGGGGTCAGCCAGGGGAACTGCGCAGCTGTGCGTGCCTACGCTTTTTTCCCCCTGACGGGCCTCCGCAGTTGCTGCTCCCGCTAAGTGTACATACCCCATGAAAGATTCCTTGCCTAACTCGGTGGTGCTGTCACAAATCGTCGGGCTGTGGCGGGCAAATAACTTCCGGGCAGGCCCCTCAGAATAATTCCCAACTTCGTTTCCCTGCCCCCACTGCAAACATGAGTGGGAAACACCGGTGGATCTTGAGGTCCTGATTTGGATCTCAGCTGCTTCGAGTTCATTTCACACCACGAAAGTGACAGCATGCAACGCCAACACCTGAGCAGAATCATCTACATATGTGCCATGGGCCAACGTGCCGCGTGCTGGACGAGCTTTGACCCATTGCTTGCTCGACGGAAGCAACCAAACAAGGGCGAGAAAAACGCCCAAGTGGGAAAACGGTCTGCCGCGTCAAGGTACAGAAGCATCCCCGAAGCGTGAGTGGCGGGGGAAATAGAACTACTATGTTTCGTTTACTGCGAGGCGCACTGGCACGTGGGCGAGTCTGTCGACACGCTCGTTTCGTCCCTTCCCTTTGGCCATGAGGGACCCAACCACGACGGCTTTTGTATCACGCCTATTTCCGTGTAGCAATCGGCGTCGCAAGATTTCGAAAACTGCCACATCCAAAAAACATTCGCCCGGCCCATCATGAGATACATACATACAATGCAGAATACCGTCTGTGCGGGTACTTACAGCAGTACTGTAGTTTGCCTGTGACCACGGAAGGCGTCCGTGTCAGTTGGATCGGTGCACGGGTATTTAGAAGAGAACGGAACGGCTTGCAATGTGAAGACACCAGCAATCTAAACAGTACCAATCTGTGTCACACCATGTCGCGGGGCCAAATACACGGCGCGGCGGTCCTACACAGAAACGCTCGTCCAAACAGGTTTTACGAATATGCCAGTCGAGCGTTGCCCTGCAGGGGGTCGCCGACGCCAACCAGAATCCTCGCCCTCATATGCATACATAATTGCCATTGCAGCTGATAGCGCCCACACATAGGAAGTTGGCAGCTAAGAACTTCATGCTCAGTGTGACACCAAGACATTGGAAGTTGAGCCTCGGAGCTCGGTCAAGAGCCCCTGCCCTCAAACCCATATAAAAAGGGCCGCTTGTAGTCTAAATCCATGGTATTTCTGGAGGTCAGAAACCTCAATTGACAATGTGTTTCCGGCGGTAGGAGTACACAGAACGGTGCTGGTATGCATATACCAGCAGAGGACATCATCGACCAGCGAGACACGCATGCCCGTTGGCCCTCCGCCCACAAATCTGTGTCGGGGGGCGCGCGGTTGAAGGCTGCAGCTGCTGGCCGAAAAGCCTGCAAAACGGAGTCCACACACTATGTCCTATTCACAGAGCCCACTATGATCTTCCGGACTGTGGTGCGGGTTTGTAGCGGACGCGCCTATTTCTTACAAATACGCGTACGTATCTTCAGCACAAAATTTTATCGACCCAACGTTCCGGATGCACGGCAGTTCTCGGGAAAATGTGCCGTTTTCTACACATATAGCCGGGACAACTATTTTAACTATTGACACACTTGTGTTGACACGTAGGTCGCTTTCGTGTTGTTGTTGTTGTTGTCTTCACATTAAACTCGTGTCAGTTGCTACTACAATCCCAAAATCTAGCAAAGACGCGGTCCGTGGCCACAAAAATGCTAGAGCCATCAGAAGATCTAAAGAACACGCAAACTAGCAAGAAAAGGGTACACAAGCCCGGAGAGGTACACTTACATCCCTGCAGCGTTTGCGTGCCCAAAAACTGAACTACCCGTCCACACACTACATTCGACTACAGCAGCATCATCCCCCCTGTCCCACACTTCACCAAAACGAATGTTTGTCGACTACAGCGTACAGCTGTCTGGAGTGCTGCCTGTACAATATTCGTGTGGGTCCCACCGGTACTGTAGGACTACATCAACCAAGGACACACGATAGTACCGTTGTGGTACATGTGATACGCGGCAAGGAACGGATTATGGTCCGCCGCAGGAACCATCAATTCTTCATATGCTCTGTAATTTTTTTTGTTTCTCTCTTTTTCTGTGCCAGATGGCCTTGTCTCTGCTTGCGTTGTGAAGTGCCAAGATTGAACCAAGGGGGTGTACCTCTTTCTCTCCGGCCCATGATAGATAGTGACTGCTAGTCTCAGTTGATACCTCGCATAGCGCGAAGAGGGAGTGGAGGATCCCAGAATATCTGTCGTTGATTTCTATCTACATACGCCGGTCGCCCCGGTGGTCTAGTTGGTAGCCTCGTAACCTTCTAGAGGTCAGGTCAGGGGTTCGAATCCCGGCGTAGGCGAGCTTTTCTTGCAAAGTGAGATTTTCTCTCGCTTCCGCTCCTGGCCAAGTGGATAGCGCTAGTTCGTGTGTACACAGAGGGAAGAGAGTGCTGAACTCTTCTCGCATTAAAAATTGAAGGCGAAGTACCGCAGGAGGGGAGGGTAGAGAGAGGCTCTTCTGTGTGACCACGGGTTGGAATAAACGGCACTAGTGCTGTGAGCCCTGATTTGAAGTGAAGAACAAAAAAAAAAAAAAAAAATTGACTTGCGGACCCCTCGGGGCCAGTTTATTTGAGTGTACCTTTTTAGGGTAAGTTAACATGTGACCACGGGAATCGACCGCGTCGAGTGTTGGATCGGTACGGACATACGAAGGTACTGGGTAGAGAGAGATCGGAACGGTTTTTAATGTGAAGACAACAACAACAACAACAACAACAACAATGTAGTTCCTTCCCTGTTTCGGGTTGGCGAAAAATGGAGAATGGATTCAACAAGCTCATGTTGAAACATAACGCGCAGCAAGCAGTGTCAAATGCACAGCAACCGCGGCAAAAAAATGGGAGGAGCGCGGGGAAGCGATGACTTGCAGGCCAAATTGTTGTGCTGCGGTTCGGCGTGTATTTCGACGTAGAGTATTTCGACGTAGAGTGTGCGTGAAGAAAAAGTCTGCGAAAAGTGCGCGCGCCAAACAAACGGCACCGATCATGTGTGTACCGCAGAGGAGCAGACGGAGCGACATAGCTTGCTGCTGCTGACAGAGACGCACCAACAAGCAGCACACGCACAGAGTTTATGCATGTACTACTACAGCAGTGCTGTGCATAGATTTGCATCGATAATAAAAGATACTTCATCAAGAAAATTCGTCATCGCAGTCTGTTGACCTCAGCGTTCCATGTATATTGGTCTCGCGGTCTCTCTCCCGCATCCTATCGGGATTTTACCTGTCTATCCCTGCCTCCCGGCGTTTGCCTCTGCTGTCTGCTGTCTCGACCTTTTGCCAACTGTGAAGACAACAACAACAACAACAACAACAACAACAACAACAACTGCCAATCGGGCCTGTTCTGGGTTGGTTGCGGGTGCAGACCGAAAGAGCCAAAATATTCATCGCAGATGATTTTTTCGGATAACTTCAAAGAAAACGGAAAAAAAAAAAGACACTGGACTCCGTATGCATAGGGCGGGAGGGGCGGAGAGGCAGTAGCTGCTGTGTCTTTGTGGATACGACTCTACTACTACTGGTACTGTGAGGTCACCCGCCACTCATTGTCACCAACTACTAGTGTACGATCTCCTTTTCGCCCGTTACTTTCAAGTGTTGCGTAAAGTATTGTAGATATGTAGTGGCCAACAGATCCCGGCGCGGTACTGCTGCTGTGTACGTGGAATATGGGGTGGCAACAGCATCGTATGTTCGCGAAACGACGCACCGGGACGATTTTTCCTCTTTGCCTCTGCTACTTACCACTGCCTGGCCTGCTGGCCTTTCGCTCTTCGCAAGCACAATTGGCACACAGACAGCAGTAGGATGGGTTCGATGTGCGACACTTTCCTCGTGATCCAGGCATCCCCCATCGCGTCGCTGCAAGAATATGGTACAGGCGAACATGTGTGGTCTCTCGCCGTCTCGCTGGAGCAGCAGGAGAGCGAATCGACATCATCCATTTTGGGTAACCAATCGGACCCCCTCTTTTTCCAACACCGCCAAAGGTCGTCGAGCGGGTTCGTCCCTGTGCCTTCCCTAACACACGCACGCATGCATGCAAGGTGACCTGGGCAAGTCCAACCAAGCAAGCATCGACTATCCATACAGCAGACACATCATCATACCTTGCCCTGACATCTCGCTGAAACTGCTGTGTTGGGTTGGTATATGATAGTCCGTCCGGGCTGCTTCTTCCTTGGGCGTGTGCCCGTCCCCTGGCACCGGCTCACAGACAGCGTCCCGTTCTCTGGCTCCAACCCACAATCCTGGCGGTGCTGCTGCACGGGGTACAATGCGCAAGAGCTCAAGAGCTGCTCGATCGTGCAGAGTGCAGAGGGTAGAAAGCGGTCCCCAGTCCACAGCAGTTGGTAGGCTGGAGGCGGAGCGTCTACGTTGTTGTAGTGTTTCGGGCGGACTGGGGAGACAAGATCCACAAAACGCGGGCGAAAAAAAAACAGCAAAAAAGAGCCGACCTGTTCAACTTGGATCTGTTCCACAGCCCACAGCCCACCGCACTGGGGAGCAGGAGCCCAAAAAGCAGGTTCTGCCTGTGCACCAACCATCCGAAATATTGTTCCTCGTGTCCAAGAAGGGGCGTGATTCTTTGGACCACAGCAGTCCTGACTGCCCCTCTTTGGCTCCTTTGCATATGGTGCCCGCCGTTACAGCGGGCCCTGTCAAGTCTCCCATCGGTGCAGATACATGGATCGGTTTCCCCGGTATTATACCGCGTATAGATGCATACACATTTGCCGCGAGACCGTTACATCCGCATCTCAAAACCGTTACAAAGTTACAAAGTGTCCTCTTGGGCCTTGGGGGTATCCAACGGTGAGGACAGAGATATCCACCATTACCGCACCACCACCACACCTGCCACACACCGCGTACGTTCTAGTGAAATAACGCAATCAGTATGTACAATAAACAGAAGAATTCTTACTTTAGAAGTGATGATTATTCCCACAGCAGTCCAAGGGGAAGACAACCTGCTGAATACTGTGGGTTCTTGTGTCTTGAAGAGGTACTCCTGTAATCTTGTGTCATCATCGCAGAAAAGTGGAGAGGATTCACTCATCGACTCATTTTGGCCACAAAAAACATGGAGGCAGCATGTAATAATAGATTCTGCCTGGTGCACGAACGACCTGAAATCATTCCTGTGTCAAAAGGGGCGTGGATCGTAACCTCGGGGATCACAGCACCCTGACTGCTCCTCTTGGCTCATGTGCATCTGTTGCCCGCCGTTTTAGCGTGCCCTGTAAAAAGTCTCTCATCGGTGCAGATACATGATCAGTGGGATGTTGGCCTCTCTGTGTCCAGTTGGTTCCCGATAGATCTGCCGTGAAACCGTTACAACAATCGCAATCTCCAATCCTTCACTTTCGGCCTGCGTGTCCGACGTCGAGGAGAGATCGAACTCCGTCTCTCTCTCTCTCTCTACATGCCGCTCTCCACAACGACCACAACCATCACCACCACCACCACCACACGCCGTATGTTTCCCTATATAGAAACCATGCACTACCTGGACGACTATTAAAGTGTATCCGGTCAAGATAATACCACAGCAGTCGAAGGGATGGTATTTATTTGAGTAGACCTACACTGCAGGTATATTGATTTTTTGTCTCGCGATAGCGCGGAAAAACACATGAAGCCGACGGGGGAAAATGATTTCCTCGTCTACTCTTTCTGCCACACAACAAGGAGGCAGCACGGAGGAAGCTGTTCGTGCTGTCTCAGCTGATTCGGCTGAAGAGTGCCGAGTTTACAAGGTCCGAAGGCCGTGGATAGAAGAGAGGTTGAGCTGATCTTATTTCTCTTCTTGACGTTCCATAAAATGACCAGCACATTCTTCCAATAGTGTGCCACCCCCGTTCGTTGTGGTTTGGGATCACCGCGCCGAGATCACCGCAACAGTGTTGAGAGAGGAGAAACATTTACCCGTGGTCCACACTGCGACAACTCTGTCGTGTTGTAACAGTCACCTGTACAGTCGTCTTGCCGAACGAAAAACAACTGACCTCTACAGTAAGTAGCGAAGGGGCAGATGGTCTGCATATACTTCTGGCTCTGGCCCGTTCGTACATCGACCAATTCATCGTAGGACAATACAGTATTATAGTCGAAGTACGACTGCTGAAAATGAAGAGGAACGTACACATGTACACGCATACGGCAGCAGCAATGCTCTAATACGCCACCTCCCATCCTGGTGAGTAACCTTGGCCACTGCGTCGGGAAGAGCAACTCCGCCACCAACGGACGACTTGCAGTAACACAATGATGCGTGTCACCCCCGCTTGGCGGCACCACGGTACGGCACACTGGTGGCGAACGCCATCGCCATACCGTGAAGCTTGCCAAAATGAAAACCACCATACACATTCCCACAGAACGTCACAGCCATCCGTTTCGCAGTCAATCATAGTCAGGAGTTTCGTTGAACTCTTGCACGTCGAAGGTTCCAAGCGGATACGATCACATTATCAAGCAAGAAAAGGTACTCCCGTTCTGCGAAAGGCGTCGGATCACTGGGAGAGAAGCCCCCCAGCGAGTCCACGGCCATCATCCTCTTCGAAAGCCAAATCATCGCAGGCGTCCTTCAATGCGCCCCCCGCCGCTTCCCAGACGTCCACAAACTCCCGACCGCGCTCCTCCGCGATCTCGAGATCTCGAAACACTGTTCCCCACTCGTCTGCGTCAACGCCGAGGGCCGACGCACCAGTGCCAACCATGATCCGTAGCAGGTTTCCCTGGTCCCGTGGCTCACGGGGAGCCAGGCCGCCGGCCACGCTTCCCCCGCCAAGCTGGTTCGAGCCGGAGAAGGAGCGCTCCGCGACCATGCTGCTGTCAGACAAACGCCTCCCTCTGTCCGGGTACGCATCCACCCGAAACGCCGACGAGGCGGCCGCGGCGGCCTCGCGGTCACGATCGCCGACAAACGGCGAGCGTTCTCCCGGCGCGGCGTTGTCGGCCTCGTGGTAACCCAGGATTCGCTCGAAGTCGACGCAACAAGACATGCCCACAAGCCCACCATCCGGTCCTGCCGGTGCAGCGGTGGTCACAGCTGCCTCCGTTCCTCCCACCGCTGTCTGCCGGCCTTGGGGGGGGGCGGATAACGTGGTAGGGGGGGCGTTTCCTTTAATCCCCCCCAAGGTAATTTCGTTCCCGCTACGGTTGCCGTCCCCCCCGACAACACCAGCGGGAATTAAGAAACGCTGTCGGCTATCCGCCCTATCCGCGCGGAGGAACGATCGTGAAGGTGAGAGGGGACTGCCGCTTCCCTCGTTCGAAGGACCAACGGCCACCGCCGAGCTCTCGGAAGCCGACAACCCACTACCACCACCACCACCACCGCGAGTACCGACGCCTCTAGCTCTATCACTCGTTGCTGCGGCGAGACTTCCAGCAGCGGGGCTCGTGGTCTCCGCCACGGCGAGGGCGACGGCGCGCTCGTTGAGCTCGTGAGACGACACGGCCAGCTCCTGGCGGCATGCACAAGCACGTTCCATCAACAAGGCGGCCGCCGCCGCTAATGGGGCCGTGGCAGACCCCTCGGGAGCGGCGGCTGCCCACCTTTGCTGCGGCTCTCTGCCAAGAAACGGCGCCGAAGACAGGTCGAGAGACCTCGGAGAAACGTCGCGGGAGGACGAAAAGGAAGAGGTAGGCGGCGACGATCTGCGGAACCCCCGGAAGTCGGTAGATGATGACGAAGATGTCTGGGAGTGTCGGGGAGAGCGTTGGAGCGGGGAATGCATCGGCGTTTTTCGTACCACGAGCGGGCGGAGCCGCTGCTCGAGGACCGCCGCGGCGCGATCGACGCCGGCTTGAGCCGACCGCGTTCGCTCCTCTACTTGCCGGACGTCCGGGTGGCCTCTCGCGGCCGCCATCACCGCCGCTGCTTCCGCCGCTTCGGCCATCGCTGACGTCGTGTCTCTCCTACCGCTACCGCTTCTTTTCATTCTGGGCTGGTGTTGCTGCTGATGTAAAGAGGGGCCTCGAACATCCGAAAAGATCGAAGAAGGTGAAGACATGCTGCCACGAGCGCCGGCGTCATCCACGGCAGAACCGGACCATTTCATAGACCCCCCCCGTCCCGCCGCGGCACTGCCACGGCTGTCCAGAAGCGGTTCCGCCCCACCCGTCCCGCGAAAGCTTCCCGAAACCACGGCAGTCCCGCCATCTGAGGACAACGAGTCGCCGTGGGGCGGCCCTGACACGTTGCTCACGCCCGTTACATTTCTCGATGGAACCACCACCACTGCCGCCGGCCCAGATTGTTCGACCGCGGCCGCCGCCGCCTCCATCCAAAGGGAGCCCCCCGCCGAAGACGAACCGGCGCCGCTGTTCGCGACCGACCCTCCCTGCCGTGCGTTCGGCTTGCCGCGGCTGGGGACCCTGTTGTCGGTCCAGTCGCCGGTGACGCGGCGCGAAACGGCAGTTGTTGAATCGCTTCCCGCGGTGGTGTTTGGGCGGCGCCTTCGGAGCGCCTTGTCGAAAGGGTTCTCGGCGCCCGCGTTGCCCGCGTGCGGCGACAACGACGACACCGGCGGCGAAGAAGGAGGGCTACTTCCGGCATCCACCGCCGCTGCCCCGAGCCTGCTACTGCCGGGTCCGAAGAGGTTGCCGTTGGCGGTAGGAGCAAGGGAGGACGCCGGGTTGCCGCGAATGATTCGGTCGTGTGCGGAGGCGGCCTTGTCGGCCCTAGCGAAATGATTCGTGGACGGCGACAAGTCCGTAGATGCCGTAGAAGGGGCCGGCTCGTGGGAGAGAGCCGCAGGGTTGTCTTCGTCGATCAGCACGTACCTGGCCGCGTGGAGGGACACATGAACACACCCAGCGAGTGAAGTGGGACAGAAAACGAATAGCAATGCAACAGATTTCGATGTCGAGCTCGCAGAACCGATCTAGCGACGATCGCGTCAGTCGTGTCCGATCACACACGACGTATCGAAGGTCGACACAACAACGCACGCCCGTTAAATATCGAGGCGATCGAGCCACTATGAACAAGGCAGGGTTCGGTGACCGCAACAACGACGAACCACCAACCAACTCCGCCCTCTCCGGACTTCTGCGTCGCATGTGCTTCTTCTTAGTGCGACAACGTTGCGGCAGCTCATGGGGAAGAATAACGTGAATCAAATTACGCGCAGCGTGATTAGCTAGGTAGAAACAAGACTCAAGGGTACACGCCTGGAATCCTCCTCCTGTTCTGGCTTCGCCTACGTCCAACTCAAACCCTAAGAATTTTTGGCGAGTTTTTTTACAGTAGAGCGACCGGCACAAGACGAACATTGAAGCTCACCCATCCCGCTCCCGGCGGAAACTCAACGGGTGGCGCGCAATGGCGCTGATCTTGGACTTGAGGAGTTCCTCGAGGGTGGAGAAGCGGCCCAGCCGGCCCTTTTCGTCGCTGAAAAATCCTCCCTCGTGCACCAAAAGAGCATGCTGTGTATCATCGCGTGTCAACAGGGGGGCGGGGGGGGGGGGGGGGGGGCTGGCGTTGCCGACTCTGGTGCTTGACAATCGATTCGGAAAAGCTACGACTTCCGTGTGAGGATGAACCGGGGGGCAGATGCTGGCATGAATGTACGGAGTGGGCGGGGTAATGGAACAGCGCAGCATGCGTGCTCGACAATTCTCTACATGTACCAGTTTCGAAAAACGAGTATACGAGGGGGTGTCGGGGTTGAAATACCGCCATTGACACCACCGGCATACACCCCGACCCCTTTGCCGATGCGAACGGCATTTAGTCTTACGCCGTACCACGTGGTTCCCGTCGCGGAACGCCATAGTCTACCGCTGTATCGCCGTCCATGTGTCAGGTTTGGGTCTATGACTCAAGATCCAAAACAAACACAGCAAGTCAAAACATGTGGTTGCTATCGAATTCTGCTGCAACTCCGCAAGGGCCGCGACATTCATCAACGCTTCGCGTACGACACTCGCGCCTTTTACCCGGGTCACACAGAACCCGCAACACAACGGTGAGAACATTGCACAGAACCAAGCTCCCCGTCCCCCTTGTACCTGGACCAACGTGCTGCCGGCGAGGCCGTCTCTAACCCTCTCCAAAGAAAGACCACCTTTTCCGAGCTTCTCTCCCTGAGGACTCCCGAGCATGTCTCGCATCCGCGGCGATCGGCTCGAGGGGTAACTCTTCCGGTTTCTCGCACCATTGGTTGGTGTGGTCGCGTTGCTATTCGGCCGCTTGGCAGAGGCGACGTAAGTCAGGACAAGGAGCGACGGACCCTTGCGGCGCAAGAAAAACGTGCCGTCCGGTCGTCCGCTGAGGATGCAGGTTAGAGGTGCGATGCGGAAAAAGACAATTCGTCGAGGGAGACGCAGAAGAAAAATTCGACAGGCGGAGTAGGCCGAAACAATGATGGCATGGTTGAGATGCCGGGAAGAAATGGACAGCATCAGGCTGCGGTTGATTCGTTGGTTTACTAAATATGCCGTCGATAAATGGTGCGCGCTCGGTGTGCGGGGCCTTTGTTCGACTGTTGAGCCTGTTCATGTTGTGGCCGATGGCGGCGATTGGTTGGTGGATCACTCGTCTCGTATCTCTTATTTCCGAAAATCTCCGTCGAGTGTGAGCGATTTCCTTTTCAGCGTTTTCACTAGAGTGGAGGGCCCTCAATAACGTCGGCATGTGCCCGGCGCATCGACCGGCGCTATTCAGAGGGACGAGCGCGATTCAATGTACAGAATTACTTGGTCATTCCGTGCCAAGCAGTTTCACCGGCGCTATACAGGGCCACCGGCGCCAATCAACCAGCGTTCTTGACGCCCCCCGACTGTAACCATTTGAAATTCTGCACCAATGTCTCTCGAACGATGACATATCGTATCAAGCGCGAATGCGAAAGTATCGGGAGATCGCCGATGCGTGTGAAGTATCGAGTGACGGTCTGAGTGAAAAAAAAGGGCGGGCATCAGAAAAAGTGACCGGTTTCATTCCGAGCCACGGCCACCTCGACCGAGAACGCACCGCAACATCCCGAGAACCTAGCACTGCCGATCAGGAAGCGGCGAGATTTCACACCGGCCGAGCTCAAGAAAAAATGTATGCTGACCCTCGTGGCCGCCAAGATGTCGGGGCCGTGAGACGACGAAGAACCGATGCATCAATCGTCACACCTACCAGTCCAGAATACCTTTGAGCGCAGAACGTTACCTACGGAGGGCACGAACTCCCATGCGGTTGACAACCCCTACCCAACTGCCACTCATGAGCACTCCCCATACGCAGAACATCCATCAAATAACTGGACGACAAGACATTACCTGAGCAGTGCTTCGGCTTCTTCTCGTCCCATCCGCCCCGCAAAGTGTCGCCAACCAGGGTCACCGCCGTTTGCGTCGTCATCACCAACAGTCGCCACGGCCAAACCATCCCCCGGAACCCCTTGCCCCCAGCTTGGGTCCGGCCCCCTGCCCCGCTCCAACAACGGCCCCAAACCTTCAGAACGCATCTCTACTGACCGCCCCTTGGACCCATCTTCGGATCGTTCTTTTTCAGGCCAATCTGCGCACTGCCGACCACCAGAATATTCTTTCGTATAGCCATCCTTGCTGTTCTCATCTTGGACGGGGGGTGTCCCCTTACCCCCTAGCCCGAGGAGTTCCATGGTCTCAAGGGCGTCTTGGAGGTGGTCGGAGGGGAGCGGTGTCGCTCTCCCCGCACTGGCTCTATGCGACAGGAAGCGACACACAACCGAGGGACGAGCCGAAGGGGCACAGGCGGGATCACCCCTGATACAGCGGAGGGAGGCCTTCGCGGATAGGAGGCTTGCGCGCGGTAAACGAAGCGCACCACTAGCCACCCAGAAGTGAGAATGGGGTCAAACTCTGGGCTTCGTTACGTGATATTTTTGTCACAAAAACACAAGGGCAGTTGCGGAGCGAACCTGCAACCTGGGGAGGCGGGCCATGGCATGCGCGCCCGGGAGGGTGGGGAGGCAACGGTAGCCCGTCCTCATCATGCTTCGCACGTGGGCCCGTACAGGATACGGATACGGAGGATCGAACGAAAAAAATCACTCCGCTGGGGACCTTCGGCAGGACAGCGCCCAACCACCACCAGAGGTATTTCCCTGCCAGAAAAATAGAAGCAATCCTCGTTATCAGGCTGCTCTACCGAGTAGGCGAGAGTAGATCCATCAGTCGCACAGTCCCAGTCTAGCAAGCCACGCAGACAGACGCCAAAAAAGACAAACCAGAAAAATGGAAAAATCACAAACATCCTTGGCACCACGGAACCACACTGACACACGACTCTCCTTACCCTAGGCCAAGCACCCCCGCCGGTCGACTGGCACCCCGTGCCGCCCCCCCCGATCGGAAGACGTGCCCAAGCAGAGTTCGCACGGCTTCCGACACAGAGAGTTGCTTCTCGCCGCTAAGGCTCTGGCCCTTGTGTCGAGCCCCGTGTGCTGTGGCACCGCTTCCTCCCCCCCGCCTGCAGCGTTGATATAGAAGGGGGGCGGGGAGTTGAAAAAAAAAAAAAAAAGTTCTACGATGAAATATTGCCACACTCGAGTCGAGATGAGTGACACCTCATATGAGAGATGTTCACTAATGGCACTGCGCGTTAATGGTTCGTGACTAGATATATTTCAAATTCTTGGCTCGTAGGCGATGTCTACAATGTTGGTCCCGCTGCACACGCATCGTCTGTTGATCCTTTGGGGTCGTAATCCCCCTACCATGACTCGTGCCGTCCATCCCCATGCCGTCGCTGTTGTCCACTTCACTGTGGCAACCTCATGAAAGCATTTTGTTGTTGATCGGAGGAGAAACGGACAAGAAACAGGCACCGTCCGCATGATGCCATGCGTCGCTCCCGAATCACAACGTGCTATGACACATGGATGCTCACTTGCACGGCTCTCTCCTACGGAAACCTCTTCCATGATGCTCACGGTCCGCGACGGTAACTCCTGTTTCCACGGTCCAACATCGCCATCCCGGAAACAAAACACCTTCGTCAGACGGCTAGCAAAACCGACACCAGCCACATGTACAGAACAGAAAAGTACTGCACCTGGCGGCGACGTCATAGTCCCCGTACTCCGAGCTCCCCACAGTGAGGCACCACCCCCTGAAGCCGCTCGCGCCGGCCACGTAGAGCGATAGCGCCTCGTCGTTCACCACGTAGGCTGGGAGGTCGGCTTTGTGTCCAACCAAGAGCTTGCATGTCCACGGGGGATAGAACTTGCTCGGGAAAACAATGCAAAAGGCGTTCGACGCACGGGGTGTAAGGGTGCGGGTTGGTTGTCTGGCTGTGCTGAAAACAACGCTCCGTCCCTCCACAATTCCACAAAAACAATGCTGGATTTAGTGAGGGAGTATACACACTTCCGTGCGGTGGTGTTTGTGCACGACATGCAATACAATACTGGACACATATGGCCGAGCACTGGGATGGAGGTTTCATAGACATGTGCCAAAGACCTTGATGATTGACGCACGCAACTTGTAGATACAGCCAACCAACACATGCGCAGCGAGAGCGCATCGGGGGGCGAAGGGCGTAGCTGAACAGCTCCAACAACGATAGCCTCATCGACGCACAAAACCAGAAACCTCCTCGACCAGGAATCACTTGCCAAAATGTTCACACTTTCTATGGTTCAAATATTGTGAAATAGGCCAACGTTCAAGTCGCCTCCGTCTCGCCACCCTTCCCCTTGGCATACGAAATATAGATCATGGTCGGACTTGAGCCAAGCAAAAAAAATAGCACAAAAAGGCGCAAAACATATGAAGCGCATATGCTGGCCACTGCAGGGTGAAGCACAAGCTAGGAAATGCCGTGCGTGAAGTGCGTGCGCGCGTGCAGCCAAAAGCAAAATACATGTGTGTTGTCTACTAGGGCAGCGAACAGCTTGAAACACAAAAAACAGGTAAACTTACTAGCTAGGAGAGTCCGTGATTGCGTTCTGCCTCACTTTAGAAAGCGCTTGGTCCCAGTCGTCGACCGCCTGTAGGCTCTCCCTGCTTGTCACGTCCATCACGTACAGCACCCCCTCTGCACCCTGCCCAATAAGTCCGTGATGACAGGGCTGCGCCGTAAGCTGCGACCCGGCTACGTCCCAGAGGTGGAGCTTCACCGGCCGTCCCTGGGCACCCGCGGTTGAGAAATCCGCGCAACAGACGCAGAATGGGTTGTTGCATATTTGGAACGGAACAACGGGATTCTGTACGCGTGCCAGAACGCCAATCGACGCATCGGCAGTAGAATGAGTGCAAGAGAGGTATTTTTTGTTTTTGTTTTTTTTCACTTCAAATCAGCGCTCACAGCACTAGTGCCGTTTACTCCACCCCGTGGTCACACAGAAGAGCCCCTCTCCACCCTCCCCTCTTGCGGTACTTTGCCTTCGATTTTTAATTCGAGAAGAGTTCAGCACTCTCTTCCCTCTGTATACACACGAACTAGCGCTATCCACTAGGCCAGAAGCGGAAGCGAGAGAAAAACTCACTTTGCAAGAAAAGGTCGCTTACGCCGGGATTCGAACCCCTGACCTGACCTCTAGAAGGTTTCGAAGATACCAACTAGACCACCGGGGCGACCGGCTGAGAGAGGTATGTATTGCGATGAGAGCGACAGGTACTTCCTGCGGTCAGCCGGAGGGCGAAGGAAGCAGGGGAACAGCAAACCCTACCGGAAAAAACTTGTCGAGCACAGGGCCTGGCCCGTTCAGACTGCCAGTGCATCGAGGCCCGGAGACAAACTCCTGGTTTGTACTCGGAATCTGAAACTACAAAGTGGCAAGAGTTTCATCAGGAAAACGCCACGCATGTGCGCCCTGCCGGGGATAACCATGAAATTCAAATATCTCAACTCAACTTCCTGCTCAGCTGCTGGGGACGGGGCTCGGGGAGCTCCTTATCGAAAGTATCATACACCTTCCCAGAGAACCGGGACAGCGCGTCACTTGCGTGTTCTACATTGGGAGTATTTCGTACTGTAGTTAAAAAATGGCTCAACTCTACTGCATGGGTTTGATGCGGTATTGTGAAGGAATATTGCCAAGTCTGTAATCGCGAGGAAGGCACCTTAGCCGTCTGTGTTGAGGAATTAAAAATTACTTCTTTGTGCTATTACAAGCTCGCCACAACCGTCGGCAACATCAAGCAGCCGAAGGTTTATTACTGTAAAATCTACCCCAGTTCGCCGAAGTATTTCGCACGGCCTCTCCCTGACTGGGGACAGGTGTATGCGAGCTATCTCGGCGTATTTCAACAGGCCACAAGTCACCAACCAGCTTCAACAAAATAACGCTCCTCGAAAATCATTGGAGTGTCCCCCCAGGCAATGGCCAGTTACTATGTTTTTCGTATTTGCCGTGTTCTAGGAGTGGGCAGACCAAGAAACGAGGCGAGAAACCGGTGTAGGGTTAGAGTTGGGCATGATGCCAACCCGCCGGGCGAAAACAAATGAGAGAGACAACAAACACGGAAGAACGCAGTTCGAGAAGAGAGACGACGAAAAGTACCATCACCGAAACGGCACAGACCAAAGGCGGGCAACACAAAGGGAAGGAGACAAGGAGCCTCCGAACAATAACGACGCTACCAAGCGGGGCTAACCTGGTATGTACCGTAGGGGACCACGGTGACGTCGAAACCCAAGGTCTGCACGTAGTCCTCTCGGAAAGCCTTGTCGCACATTCGTCTCACCAAGGACGTCTTCCCCTGCGGTATGGAACATTACGGCCCCAAAGGGGCATTGCAGACAGCAGTGCGCGCGGAGTGTGTGGTACAGATTCACGCATGCTCGTTTTCGACGGGAATGCATGGAGCGTTAACATGTAGGGGCCGACGCGCCCACCACCGGGGTGAAAGGTCGGTGGTCTACAGTTAAGGGACGTGGAACAAGACCAGGTGAGGGAAACCTCGCCGTCGCCAGGAAACCTACCGCTAGCTTAGAATGGGCAAACCAAGGTACGTGGAGTAGAATACCCCTGGCATGTAGAGACCTGCTTCGGGTATCCCTGCACACCCTTGCGGAAGTCGGCACAATCAAATTTGTGATGTTTTCGGTTCCTGAACTCTTGTGGTTTCCCTTAATCCACTCATAGATCGTAAGGATACTCCACTCTTACAAAGGGACATTTCTGACACAACACCCCCACCCCACAAAGACTGGTACTTGAGTGTGCTGTAGGTGACGTAGGATATCACACCCCCGAGCCCGATCGGTGCTCGAATACTCAACGACGAAGAGGCAAATCAAACCGTGCGTTTTCGGCAAGCTCTCGACGAGGTGGTCATGGTTTCAAGGCCGCCATTTTCGAAACCGCCACTCTTTCTCCTGTGGCGTAATCGAGCTTTGGGATTTGGTCGACGGGGTATGATATCTTACGTTACCTACGGCGGTGGTGGTATGCCCGGTGTCGGCGAATCTTGTACCATCTTTCGTACCAGTATGATGTTGTACCCCACCCCACAACAAACAACAGTAGTGTGTTGCTGAAGATGGCAAAGCTCTGTGTTGTTGACCCTGCTATCACGTGCCATCGTGTATGTTGTAGAATCACCGGAAGGATGTCATGGACTCGATTGCTGTGTATGACTTGACTGCATTGGAATGTCAAGTCCACGTTTTCGACATTTTTCCCCAGGGGGGGAACGGATTTTGGGCATTCAACGTTTAGACGGAAGAGCAGAACGACCAAATGAGATATGATGCGCCAGTCATGGTTGCACCAGATGAGATTGGGACAAAGAGCAAAGTGGGTCTTAAAGCTGTCGGTGTACATACACATGGCACCAGTTCGTGCTGCTGCATACAAACGCCTCTCCGCATAGAGATTTCGTGCCTTCAACTTGATGGGTCTCTGCGTCGGGCATGCGTGCGTCCTCCCTGTTCATGCTTTGTCAATGTGGGCCTCTCTTTCGATATCAATTCAACGCTGCTGTGCTTTGGTGATGGAGAGTACTTGCTCTCGTGACTCAATGCGGTGCATTCAAAAGTTCAAAAACAAATGTTCTGAATAAACAACGCGCCCCCCTACTCTCACATACCGCCTTCGGAGCTCCGACCAGCAAAACTTTCAGCACGAGCTCGGGGCTTGCCCTAGACGCTTTCATGTTCACCCCGGCTTTGCCCTCCCCACGTGCCGCTCCAGCTCGTTCCCAGCGTGCACTCTCGCTCTACGACACACCATCTGCCAACACCCTTGCATCTCCAAGGAGGGGGCACGAAGATGGAATCAGAAATTCACCATCACCTGGTGCTGGTGCTAAAATATAACCTGCGGGTGCCCCCCTCTGTGTGTGGCTCTGTGTTGGTGTGTCGTGTGTTTTTATTAATAGCATCGACCGCGCTAACCGGCTGACCAATGAAAAGACGTCAGTCTTCGTGCGGTTGAAAACACAAAACACTTCTATCTGCCATGAACTGGGACGCCGTGAGGGGGCAGCATGGGGGAGGCTAAACTATCCTTCGGATCAATGACAGAAACAGCAGCAACAACAGAAGAAAACTGGTCGCGTCTACCAAGACCTTGTATACTCTAGTTCGTTTAGTAGTACTTTCACCATCATCCTCCTTGTTTTCGCTACCATCCTTCTGATCCTCATTTTGACAAGAATCTCTGGGTAGTTCTTCACGAGCCCTACGTTTTTTGTTTTGGGGGAGATCATCTGGCTCAAACCCTTGCTCTCTTGTCTTCCACTCCTCCATGTTTTCCTCCTCCATCGTCGTCTTCGTCCTCCTTTCTTCCCTTTCCCTTTCCTTCGTCTCCGTCACTCCTAAAAGATCTACCCTCATTACTATCGTTGTCGCAGAGATCCCAACCGATTGGCCCTGGTGGAAGCTGGTCGATCAGTAGCCCATGTAGCCCATGTGTGTGGTGTGTGTGGTGTGTCCACGACCATGAGATATTTACTGTAGACTACACGTGTAGGACGGACCACTTATATTATGGGTGACCTTTTCTCCCCTCTCTATTTGCTTAGACTCACACGCGCCGCCCGCGAGAACAAATCACTCCCCTCCCCGTCTCCACCAGTCAGTGCTCTCGAGGCCATCCAATTGTTCGCAGATCGCTACATGAGAGGTTCTCCTCCCGCCTCCATCGTTGGGATCCTCCTCTCATACCTGTTCTAGTGTCGTATTTGGAGATATGCAGCAACCGCTTGCGATAATTTGATCAAAATCAGTGAATCTCACATTCTTATCACTGCAGGAAATATATTTCCGGATCGGCTTGGCGGGTAATATAGCGGCGGATATGCCTTACAATTTGCATCTTCGGTACAGTATCTACGTGCGGGCATAGCTCTGGGCTATCTTATGTTGAGGTAGTGTAATGGTATAGACACGCGTAGCAATCCCTGAAGACGCTTCCTTGGTGAAGACTCACTTGTTGATTCATCTCGCTCTTTGGGTAACAGCAGTGCATGCTGATTCCTTGCTCTCTGTGGTAGACTGAGCATTTCGGGGCAGACCAGCTCCCTCTGACAGGGACTACAAAGGTCCTGTCCCCTGCTTTATCCTTCAATCGGGAGTTACATCTCCCGCACTTTCCTCTGGGCATTAGCCCGCACTACCGTTGGTACTTTCCTAACAGTCGGTTGACCGACTCATAGAATCCACCCCAGGCTTAGCCACGGCTAGGCGTTTGGTTCTGTAGATCAAGGTGGGTATCGATGTAATTTTCAACAGAAGTTGCCTCTATAGTTGAAGCAAAAGTAGGTTGCTTCCGGTGCACCATTTGCATTATTTACTGCTGCTGCTGCTGCTGTGGTGGATGGAACACGAAGGCGTTAGTTTAGGCTGCAGGTGGTTTCTCGCAAGATCTGTGAATCATCAACTGCTTGCTGCGTGAACACTGCTCATAAGCCCACCTAAAGCCAACGTTTCTCTTTTCTGTCATACAATGGCGGCTGCTGATGTGGTCTATAAAACAGACCTTTCTACATGTAGACATTGCAGCATACTGGAAATAGAGTCACTTCATTCACTCTTGCGAAGCACTGACCCCGCTATTGGGGAACACCGGCAAGAGAGACCTTGCTGAAGCATCACTCCACCGCCTGCAAGACTTCTTCACAAAAGATTTCGATGCGCGTCCAAACTACACACCTTCCTTCCCCCTTGGGGGGTCGTTCATACTCTGTAGTGTTGGAGGTAGGTTGGGTAGGGGTTGGGGTGAACAGTCCGGACAAAAGTAATGTCTTGGAGTAGCGAAACATGTTATGCAATTGACACACAATGTTTGATTTTGAGCCCCGCTGCAATTGGTTGTGAAGCGTGGCGTGAATATTTCATACCAGGGGGTTGAGGGGCCCCGCCGCCCTCAGTGGGCGCCGGGGCCCGAATCGCAAACCGAAGGTAGTTAAATTGATTGATTGGAAATTCTAAGATGTGTGTTATGTTGGGGTATGTGTAGTGGTATGCACGCGTGATGAGGTCTGGTTGACCCGTGAAGAAGAACTCACTTGTTGTTACTCTTGTAGAACAGCAGCAGCAGTAGCTGTTGCCTTGGGTATCGGTAGGAATGACACCAAGGGGCACAGGATCCTCTGCACAAGCAGGGGCTACTAGATCATGTCCCCTACTTTTTATCCTTCCGCGGAGAGTTACATCTCTCCGCGCCTTCTAGAAGGAACCAAGCTCTTCTATGTTCCGTCTACACATCTGAATCCTATAACACTAGCCCACCCTGGAGGTTCTCATACGCAGATACTGTAAAACCTCGAGTCTTGACAAGCAATTGTCGAGTCTCTAAATGAAAGTATCGAGGATGTGGAGCTCCAAAACAGCACAATTCACCCTCCCACACCTCTCACTCGATGAGTCGCAAGACCATCGTTTGACTTCTAAAACGACAAAAAGACACAGACAGGAAGGAACTGACGGGGCTAAGAAAAGCCTACGACGACCGGAAGAAGATCGGAACCAAAGAAAGGAAGACACAAAAAAAGGAAGAAAAACAGAAAAGAAAACAAAGGTCGTCAAAACGACAAAAAAGAAAGGATCACTGTAGGAACCACAACAAGACCGGTATCGTAAGAAAACGACAAGATACGCCATTCACGCAGTCGCCACGGCAGTGTAGAAGGGGCATCAATGGGCGCGAAACACCTACAGGTCGTGACCAAACGCTAAAGGCACAAAATAAAGCGAGGAGAAAGCGAAAACCAACCAAGGCTAAAAAGCAACCCAAACAACGCTGAAAACAACAGAAAGCCAAGACAACTAGCACGTCGTCTTAATGGGGGCGCGCCACGTTATCAGGCAACGAATCAGCCCCGGGGTCACCACGCGACATGTCGACGTTGCGAAGGATCCCCTTAAAAAGGGCACTGCCGCTGTGAACTTGAAGGCACCAGGATCCGGAGACGGCGGTTTCAGCGGTGGAGTAGCGAACATCAGGAAGGGCGAGCTTGACAGGGCCAGGATCGTCCAAGAAGCGGACGACGTAGAAGTCGGACGGTAGAGGCGGTCCAGTAATCTTGCCCAACCACCAGAATCCATCGCGAGCTTTGTACCAGAAGAAGGCGCCTGCAGGTAGCGGAGTATTGGCGAAGCGACGGTCCCAAGTTGAACGAGAGACGAGCGAATAACCCGAAGGCAAAGCTCGCTCCCCTTTAGCGCGCGCCATCTCGCGGGTGGCCGCACCAATACGCATCGCCCGATAGCGACGATTCGTTTGGCGATGTTGATCAGGCGAACCCGTCCAGTACCGGAGAATGTGGGGCTTGGAATGCTGGAGGTCCATCTCACGTTCCCAAGAAGGACGAAGAAGACCTTTCCAATGCGTTTGGTATAAAACAGCGATGGTGCCACCACGGCCACGAACAGACTGATGGCCACTAATGCGGTCAACCTCGAGACGTTCGACCGGAGTCGACACGTCGTCTTCCGCAACATGGTAGGGAGGAGATTTATTCGCATAGGAGTTTAGCACATACGGTGTAAGGCCGGCAGGCAGGAACCGAGGCAAGTCTTCAGTGTCATGCGGATTAGCGCAAGGCTTGCAACGCGCAACTGACACACGGTTTTTCGAGTCCGGACCCGGCAGATCCGATGGAAGGTCCAAATACAGTAATTTGGAAGCCAGAGGACAACCGTCGGGAGCGTCAGGACACGGACCCACGGCCAAGATCTTGAACGGACCAGTCCACAGGAAAGACAACTTAGCCTTGAGGACCTTGTCATCCGTGCCTGAACGAACACCTTGGCGAATGGTAGATTCGGTGTTGTACACCCAAACCCATCCACCGACGGTGTATGAGGGGACCTTGCGCAAAGCATCCGATAGGGCGGAGTTACGCCGCTCAATCCTCGAAACGGACAGGTTGTGCTGTTCGCGAACTAAATCGTAAGAACGACGTTGGCGATCAGCAGCCAGATCGCAATACTCAAGTTGATCGCGATGCAAGCTTTGGTGGCCTCGAGCATATGGATGCTCAAAAACCGTCATCGGCATGCGTGGCAGTCGGTTCATATGCACCTCGTTGGGCGCCAAACCAGTAGCGGCACTAAGCGAATTGTTGTAGGCAAACTCAACGTGCGGCAAATGAATGTCCCAATCATCTTGCCTCTCATTGACGACCATAGCCAACATCTGAGCCATAGTGTGATTGACGCGCTCCACACCCCCATTGCCGTTGGGATGGTAAGAGCTGGTAGCCACTTTGCGTATAGCCAGACGGGCGTATACAGCCTGCGACAGTTTGGAACAAAACTGAGAGCCATTATCAGACAAGAGACTCAAAGGGCAACCCCATAAAGGGATATACCGATTGACAAGTACGTCAGCGGTGCCTTCGGCGGTGAATTCTGCAGCCGTAACCGCGTACATGTCAGCACGGCGGCTGAAACGGTCAGTGAAAAGCAGAATATATGTGTTTCCGCGCGGTGTCAACGGGAGGGGACCGAAATAATCGACGCTCACCGATACACCAGGGCCCGAAGGCAGCGGAAGGCACAAAGTAGGCCATCGAGGCGTTTGACGAGATGACTTGCGAGCTTGGCATCGCAAACAATGCCGTACCCACCACTTCGTGCAAACACTCATGCCAACCCACCAATAAAAACGTTCCAGCATGCTAAGCGTGCGAGCGGCACCGAGGTGGCA